GTATTCTTGCAATTATGTGTGCATACAGAAACATGCAACCCACACTTATTACTTGTACACTTACAACCACAGGAGCAGACATACCTATGTTCATACTGTACTTGGTCATACACATGTCTCGTTGAGGTTACCTATTTCAGTATCTTTAAGCCAGCACGCACTATGCCCATGCCTAGGTCCATTCACATTCGCACGAGTGCATAGTCCCACAGTTTACACCTGTGTAAGTACTACACAGACACATAGATTCTGCAGTCTAAGCACTTAAGGCACACTTCCATATGTCCTGACAAGCTGGATGGATCCCCCTGGGTTCCAGCTCCAGATCTTTCTCTTATAGCCTGCCAAGGGAGCTGCTCTAGTTCAGGCCCCCCTTCCTTCTTCTCTCTTTTCCATTCCTGTTCCAACCCTGCACTCATTTTCTGCCTCGCCTCAATGAAAGTCCCTGGAAAGGTCAGATGAAGGTCTGGCAGCTTCAGCGTGCCCCTCGTCAGGAATGGGTAGAGATCCCCGTGGCTTTTCTGGCTGCCTCTCTCTGCTCTCAGGTCTGTTAGCTCTGGTGAATAAAGCCAGGCCCTGGGAAGCAGACAGTTGGGCCTGGGGACTCCAGCTGTTTATAGAGCTGCTCTGCACTCCTGCTGCTCTGGGAGAACAAACACAGCCTGGAAAGTTTCTGCCACTGGGACTCTGTCCATATTGCCATGGGCCCAGGAGGCACCACCAGCTTTTTGTGTGGTTGGCAAGACCAGGTCCTGGGCTGGGAGTCTATTCAGTGAAGTTCTCCTTCATCCCTGATTTCCTTATGATGAAAGGAAACAAGCAAGGCCTGGGGAATTCCAAACATCCAGGAATGATATATTTATATTTGGCTCAGGAGAAGATGGGCTTTGGGGGGAGATCAGATCCGAGTTCAAATCCTACCTCTGCCACTGATCAGCTGTGTGACTTTATGCAAGTAACTTAACCTTTCTGAGCCTCTGCTTGCTTATCTGTAAAATGGAGATAATATGTCATGCTTCATGGAGGTTGTCATGAGCTCTGAATGAGATGACATAGGCAGGAGTGCTCTGCTCACTGCCTGGCCCGCAGTAGCATTTAAAGTGTGGTTGTGGCTCCTGTCTTGCTCTCCAAGCATATTCGGAGTGACAAGGAAAGAGGCTCGAATGGGAAAATGGTCCAAACGGTTTGGTCGGTGGGATCTAGGTGAGAAAGAAGGTGAGTGGGGGAAGGGAAGCCTTGGCCGTACAAACAGCATTTGACCTGGATTTCTGTCACACTTGTACCATGGTTTGTGACCTTGTTCAAGCGATGTCCCCACTCCGGTGGTCAGATTCCTTCTCTGTAAAATGAAGGACTGCCTTCGACAATTTCTTAAGGTTTTTTTTTCTAGTTCTGAGATACTAGGTTATGTTCTTTGGAAATTATCTGCAAAGTAAATGAAATGCATATAGATAACTAAGGACTCAGTGGGGAGGAAAATGATAGTTATCGTGGAATGTACGAGCTGAACATGGTTAACTCCTATTCTGGATTAACATTATTAAGAAGGAGAAAACTATGTCACCAGTGGACCACTCCCAAGGAGGCAGGTCATTGCCAAGTCCTCATTCTTTGTCTGTGGATTTGGTTTCTCCCCCGCAGGGGGCCATGTTCCCCCGGGCTTCCCTTGTGGGCCAGCTCCAGTTTTAGTGTGCATGATTTTCCCCTGAGGTGTGCTGAGCCTGGCAGGAGGTGAGGTTGGATTTCCACATTTGTGATGCTTAGGTGGTTGCTTAAGCCTGCTGTGCAGCTCTGTGGTTCCTTGATTTCCTGAGTCTTTGCACTTTGATGTGACTCAGTGTGGTGCACAGGGAACACCTTCTATGGGTCAGGAGAACTGGGTCTTTAGCCCCGGCTGGTGTGTCCATATGTGCTTCCTCAGCTGCACACTGGGCGACAGAGTGTCGACCATGTCTACTGCGTCGAAGACCAAGGAGTTAGTGCAGGCATCAGATGAGAGAGTGGGTGTAGAATGTGTTGAAAATTGCAAGTGCTATTTAATAATTATGGCTGATATTCACTATGCTTGTACTTTGCGTCAAGCACTGTGCATGGCATTCTCTATGCTTTGTTTCCTAATCCTTACAACAGGTCATAAGGGGGAGGCTACTGGTACCCCACTCTACAGATGAGGAGGCTGACTCAGGCTACCCTGTCCAGGGTCATGGGGCTGAACCTCAAGTTTTGTCTGGCCATGGAAGATTGTGTCTTAACTGCTATGCTGTCTCTAGAGAGAGCAAAAGGCACCAGGACTGAAGTCTGGAAAGGTAGACAGGAGACATGGGGGAGGGGAAATGGTGGGTCAAGGTCCTACGCTGATCAGTGATAGCTTTGGGGGCTCCGTTGTCATCATTATCAACGTTATCATGGGAAACATTAAGAGCACTGACAAAAAGCATTTACTGTGATAAAAACTTTCTTGCACATAATTTCTACCCATGATACCTTGATGAAGTCAGTATGTTAGTCACCACTGGGATTTTACGAGGCTTAAAGACATGAAGCAAGTCAGCTCCTCATACGCAGTGAGTGAGGTCGGGTCTGTGTGATGCCAGAGCCAGGCTTGTAACCCCACACAAGATAAGGGCAAAACTGCTGTTCTTTTAGGAGGAAACTGTGTCTAGGAAATCGATCTCTGTGCAGCCATTGTTGGGAAACAAGTTGGAGAGCACGTGTGTATACCCGTCCTCCAAGAACAAAGTTCTTTACAGAGCTGGGAGATCCCTGACTTGATCTGATGACTACTTACCATTCCAGAAGAAGAATGGAAGTGTCAACACTCACCACACAGAGCATATGAATAATGTGCTTCTGATTTGGGAGCGATAAGAAGAAAAGCATTAGGAACTCTCAAGACATCCATTTGAAGTGTAGGAAAACTTGGCTTTTTGACCTGGATACCAATGAAAGGCAGCCATGTTTGTTCCTAGTCAATAGGTGGGATCATCTCCGTTTGGAGATAATAGGCCTATTAAATTTTAGGGAGTTTGATCAGTTGTCCTTTGGATGCAGTCAGGGTCGACTTGACCCTATCAAGACAAAGACCCTATCTTTGCAAAAGGACAGATTTTGGACCATTTGCCCCATGACCTAGAGAGCTCAGTGATTTTTGCCAGTCTGGGATTGAAAGATTAGATCTAATCTCCATAAACATTTAGGACCAAATAATTGTGTGAATCAACAGACCCTACTTGATGTTTGGTTTATTTATCTTAAAAAGTCACCGAGCACATGTTATTAAATGTGCTGCTGAGGTTGCCACAGGAAATGAGACAAGATTGCACCCCAGCACTAAGTTACATGGTAGCGAGAGCAGGGATGAAAAAGCAGACCTTTAACTGTGTTCCATGTTACTTACCGAGCGGTAAGTGCTACTGCGGACACTGAAAATGTGTCACGAGAATGGGTGGAAAGAACTCATTAGCCTTGGGTCAAGAATGCAGGTGAGCTCACACATGTACACAGGTGTGAAAGTATGCCAGCTGCTTCTGCAGGTAATTCCAGCATAGACTTAGAGGAGAATAGGAAGGAGTCAGTAGGGGAAGGAGGGCTGGTGTGGTGCTCTAGGCAGAGTCCTCCATGGCATCAGCACAGAGACATGCCTGTCTGGAGAACTCTAGGCCTTTCCATTATCCAGAAGAGGATGTGAGAGAGAGAAAAAGTGAGGCAGGGCAGAATCACCGAGGGTCTTCTAAGATTTGCAAAGGAATTGGGGCTTAATGAAAGTGACGGGGAGACACCAGGGAGGCACTGAACAGGACAATGGTGTGGTTGGATCCGTATTTCAGGAAGACCAATGTGTGAGAAAGAGGGCTCGGAGTGGGGCCGGATGAGATTTAAGACTCTTTTGCAGTAATGTGAGCAAGTCCTATGGAAGCCTGAACTTGACTAGGGGTAGTGGGATGTCCAGAAGTGGGTGGATGCCCAGAAATGGACTTCCTGGCAGTAACATCTGTCTTGGTGACAGCAACAAGGACTTGGTGATTGGCTGCCCGCTCTCACTTGGCTCATAAAGCGATGACTTTAGGCAGCTCTAATTAGTTTCTCACAAGTGCGATCACTCCTTTCAAAACCAGTACAATTGATTTTTTGTTGTTCCTTTGTTTTCAAGGATTGGGAAAAAATTTTAAAGTAGTAACGTATTTATAATCACAAATGCAATATTTGCTCCTTGCAGAAACTCAAAAAATAGGGAAAGAATGAAAGAAGAAAATTAAAAATTATCTGTAAGTCTGCAGTCCAGGGAGAATTGCTATTAATGTTTTCGTATTTTTCCCTTCTGGTCTTTTTTTCCAGTATAGTGATTTATTTTAAACTTTTTACAATGAGAATGTTGAAATACACACAAAAGCATAGAGAGGACTCGAATCAACCCAATAGACCCACTGAGGCTTCTAGAAGCAGTCTTCTGCTCTTGCATAGTTGAATTATAAACTTACAAGTAGCTTTTTACATTTTCTTTTTTCCATTTTTAAAAAAAGATTTTATTAATTTATTTGTCAGAGAGAGAGAGAGAGAGAGAGAGCATAAGCAAAGGGAGCAGCAGGCAGAGGGAGAAGCAGACTCCCCGCTGAGCAGGGAGGCTGATGTGAGACTCCATCCCAGGACCCTGAGATCATGACCTGAGCCGAAGGCAGACATTTAACCGACTGAGCCACCCAGCATCCCAACATTTTCTTTTCATATAAAACTTCAGCCTGTTGCCTTAATTTTATGTCTGTGGTCCTGCGTGTTTGGCGTGCACTAGCCCTGCTGGCTCTTTGGCCGTTTGCAGATGGATGTCTTCACCCAGAACACTGAATAAGACAGTAACAATACCCAAGTCGCACAGTACGCACTGGAGATCTGAAAAAAATACCAGATTCCCTATCTGCTCAGGGGAGCCCAGTGCAGAGGGGACATACTTCTGGGAGTGAGATGTCCCCAGCAGGAAATAGCAGCCTATATTTTGACTCACTCACCATAGTTGTCTCTGCAATGGAACCGAAGCTGTTGATGAAAATGTTGCAGCTCACGTTCACTGGGGGACCTGCCAATCAAGAGAGATTTCCTGCTTAGCTCCACGGTCAGGAAGAAACCCACAGGACAGGATCCTTCTTGGAACACTGACTTCAAGGATGGCTCCCTCTTGGTGGAGGAGACCCTTGCTTGCCCTCCACCCCACCCCTGAGCAGCAGGGGACTTCCAGCCACATGACTGTGCCAGATTCCCTGGTCCCCAAGTGAGCACCAGGTACAGAACACCAGAGGCTGAGCTAGGATGTACTTTCATCAACATAGGATGATTCATCGTCCTGCCATATGGCTGAAATCCCTTCCCCAAACCCCATCGGCTGCCTTCTAATTTGTGGCTGAAATGTATTTACGGCTCCAGCATTTGGAGGCCATCTTGGGAATCGCAAGGAACAGCAAGTTCCTTGCCTTGAACTTATGAACCAAGAAAGATTGCCTGAAAGGGCATGGATGGGGATTACCAGCTGAGGAATCCAGAGGGAACCTCAAGGGAAGTCTGTAAGTCTTTATTAAATACTTTCCAGGCAAGCTATTTGAATTCTACTGCAAAAGGTAGGAAAGACATGGAGGCATATTTGCTCTTTGGGATCTCATTGTTAGGGGACCTCTGTCCAGTTGAAACCCAATCTCTTCATTTTATACTATTAATTGTAGCAGTTACCTACTACTGAGCATTACAGGGTTTGCTGCTGTCCTGAGAGTGTTACCGATACTATCTCATATCCCCTCCACAACTCCAGAAGAAGATACAGTTATTACCTCCATTTTGTCAATGAGCAAACAAAGGCTCCGAGAGATTATTTGCTCATGACCACACAGCTAGTAAGAGGTTGAGCCAGAGTTAGAGTTCAGATTTCTCTAATTCCAAAGCTAATGACTGGCTGTACTTGGAAGAAAGAGATTCGGAGAGAGGAAGGGACATGCTCAAGGTCACAGAGTGGCAGAATGCGGGATTTTAAGCACTGGGCTTCCCCATGAGCTAACAAAGGGTCCAATATAAAATAACCAGAGAGGGCTGGGGTGCCTGGGTGGCTCAGTGCATTAAGCCTCTCCCTTTGGCTCAGGTCATGATCTCAGGTCCTGGGATCGAGCCCAGCATCTGGCTCTCTGCTCAGCAGGGAGCCTGCTTCCCCCTCTCTCCCTCTCTGCCTGCCTACTTGTGATCTCTGTCTGTCAAATAAATAAATAAAATCTTTAAAAAAAAAGTAACCAGGGACGCCTGGGTGGCTCAGTGGGTTAAAGTCTCTGCCTTCGGCTCAGGTCATGATCTCAGGGTCCTGGGATCAAGCCCCATGTTGGGCTCTCTGCTCAGCAGGGAGTCTGCTTCCTCCTCTCTCTGCCTGCCTCTCTGCCTACGTGTGATCTTTCTCAGTCAAATAAATAAATAAAATCTTAAAAAAAAAAAAAAAGTAACCAGAGAGGGGTGTGAGACTATGGGTAAGATTGTTATGAACAGTAGGAGCCTAGGTCTAAGAGAGGTTCTGGAGAGCAAGGCATAAGGAAAGATCTTCTGAAGGTAATAAACCTTGAGCTGACCTTGAAGGTGGGTAAGACTTGGATAATAGCTCATAATCCTTCACAAGGAGATTGCGATATGCAATCTGTGAAATTTTTCAGGCCTGCTTTCTTGTTGATCCTCATGAGGTCCTGAGGGGGCCAAGACGAAATCACTATCTCTGCTGCGGAGCTGAGAGTTTTAATAACTTAACTTAGGCTTATTTAGCCAGCAGGTGGTGGAGTTAGGACTCACACCCAAGTTTTCTGATTGTGGAGAGAAGGAAGCAGATGTCTTTGTGTTCTCTGTGATCCACTCCTCTCTGCCCCTCTTTAAAGAGCAGCCCAAACATTTTACCCAAACTCAGTCAAAGTTTCCTTCTTTTTAGAAATCTTGGTGTGTAGGAAGGGTCTTGTGGTGGGAATCCAGGCTTTCCCTCCAAGGGAGTGCCAGGCTCCATGGGTTTTCGACACAGCTCCGATATTCATGGGCAGTCCGATTCAGGCATGCCCCTTCCCATTTCTAGGTCACAACTTCCCCATCAGTCTGGGAGACTAGCTCTGGATCTAGGTAGACACTCTGAGCTCCTTTGGTTTGCAATTCCCTTATGGAAGCCATCCATGTGAACTACAAGGTTACAGGATTTGGGGACTGAAGGATTTCTTAAGGGTCACCTCATCAATTTCTTCCCAAACTGCTGTAGAATCACTGGGGAACTATCTATCTATCTATCTATCTACTTATTTTAAAGATTTTATTTATTTATTTGACAGAGATCACAAGTAGACAGAGACGCAGGCAGAGAGAGAGAGGCGGGGAAACAGGCTCCCTGCCGAGCAGAGAGGGGCTCGATCCCAGGACCCTGAGATCATGACCTGAGCCAAAGGCAGAGGCCTAACCCACTGAGCCACCCAGGCAACCCTGGGTAACCATTTAAACTGCAGATTCCTTAGCCCGATCCCAGACCCAGTGAACCTGAATCATGGGAGCTTAGCCCAGAATGTATTATTTAACAAGCGACAGGGGTGATTCTCATGCACAGCCAAGTTTAGGGACCACTGCTAGAGTGGCACGAGCAGCCTGCTCAAGCCTGAGTGCTTGAGCACCTCCGACAGCGGGGAACTCATTTCCTAGTCCGCAGCTCTTTCCATAGCTGGTTATTTCTGTTCTGCTAAAAAATTTCCCTTATGCTGAGTGGAAATCTGCCTCCTCGTCACTTCCACCTAAACAAAGACCCATTAAAAAAAATCCCCCCCCACCTCATTTAGACTCAGACCCAGGCTTTTCTTTTCATTTGGTCTCATACCATTAAGATGCCCCAAAGAGTTACTGCCCGTGCCTCGAAATGACGCACTCAGAGTTCCCACCCAGGCCCTGCAAGTGTCTGCTGCTGTGACTCCCATATAAATTAGATCCTGATTTATGTGTGTGAGAGGACGCCAGAGAAAGGGACCCCATGGGGAGGTGCGGTTCATTGATATAAATCTGAAATTAAATTATCCTCAAGAAAATTACAATCTGGCTGCCTTTGGCAGCAGGATAATGTATATATTTCATTAAATATTAAAGTTTAATTTTGCTTTTGTGTATGTGTTGGTATTAGGCTGGGTCCCTGATCCTGGGAGCCATTATCCTACACAAAGTCTTAAGAAAGATACAGACTATCAGTGCTAGAAGGGCCTACGTCCTACTGGATTGTTTTATAGATGCAGAAACAGAGGCCCAGGTATGTCAAGGGATGGCCTTTGGGTTGCACTGTCCGTTCAGCTGTGCGAGGACTGAACTCCAGTTTTTGCGCACGTTCCTTCCGTGTTCTGATTTGTATTGCCACTGTGCTCTGCAGACTGAGGCTGCTGTTCCTACCACTCCGTCTGCAGGAGAGTCAAGAGCAGGCAAGTTTTCTGGGGCTTGAAGGGAACTGCTGAGTGATTAATCACTCCGTGGAGTTTTCAGACAACGTAGGCCTCTTCCTCTGTGTTAGGGTCACAGGGCCTTATCTACACGGCCTTTTTGGGAGCTCTATGGTTTGTATGGGGCTTTTGGAAATCCTATTTGTGCTTTGAGTGGAAGTGTGAAGGGACCAGAGGACTCAGGGGCAGGAGAACCCTCATGCCAACATTTCAGCTCTTACCATGAGGGAGAACAGAGAAACCTTGCTTCCCATTTCCCGGGCAGTGAGGTCGGGTAGGGGCTGTAGAGGGTGTTCCAGAAAGATGTACCTTGCTCAGAGCCTGACTTGGAGGGCACCAAAGTGGGTAGAGATGCTGGGTTTGGGAAAAGTCTAAGACATTATCTAGTCCTGTAGATTTGGGGCCCAGATGTTCAAAGTAAGTCTCTCAGACTGGGGAGGAGAAGGGCCCTGATTCAATAATTTTATAGTCTGGGTGCAAGTTTATATCTTAAAACTGTCCACTGCTAAGCAAGTCAGTAAGTAAATAAATGAACGATTAAATAAATCAACAAATCAGTAGCATTAGACAAAGAAGTGAATGTAGTTAACTGAGTGAAAATCCCTAGTCTTGATGGAATCCCTTGGGAAAGTCACTTAACTGTTCTAAGCCTTAGCATAGATTTTGGTTCATTCGTTCATTCATTCCATGTTGAAAGGTTTATTGAGGGCCATCTATGTGCCAAGTGCAGTGCTGTGCATAAAGGATGACGAATACATGAGCCCTGGATGCGTACGCACACAATCGAGTTCCACTCTCCTTTCTCAGGAGAGCTGGACTGCGGCACTCAGATGGAGTTCCGAGAGAGCCCACCAGGGGGCGAGGTGGGCCGGAATTTCGGAAAATTGCCAGCAGTGCCGGAGGTAACCTGGCCGTCAGGTCTTGAATGTGTTCGATTTGGCCAATGGTGTTTCTAAAAGATATCATTTAGCTGCCAACTTGGAAGATTTCACAGAAAACCCCAGACTCAAGTCTTATCTCGGAAGGCGTGCTGCCGCGGGGCCTGCATTCCTACCTGGCAGCTACCTTAGGACCTGACAGGTGGCTGCCCTTGGCTGAGCCTATGTTTTCTGGTTTTCCCTTATCCCCATCCTGCATCACTCAGGTGTCCTACCTGATCCTTCTGGGTGTCTGAGATTGTGACCCTGGTGAAGGGCTGGGGTCCAGACACTATGGCAGCAACCTTGGTCCTTACCTGTCCTTGAGGGAACCAGGGTAATGCTAAGGATGCTGGAAGATAGGGCCTCAGGAGAAGGGACTAGGGGAGCCTGGAGGTAAATAGGAGTGGGAGGTGGGCCCCCAAGAATCAACCCCATTGCATCTCACAGACCACTCTTCATTTGCAGAGCACTCTGAGAAGGGTACTTAGGGAACGGGGGAGCAAGGTAAGCAAATATTAGGAAGCTGTTACCAGCTGTCACATCCCTTATTTGGTCTTGGACTTGAGCCAAAAGGAACAGTGAGGAAGGGCATCTGGAAGCAAGAATTGATTTGGAGGCTAGCAGTCCTCGTAGTCTTGGGAGGCTAGGCTAGTCCTTGAAATCAGATTTCTGCAGGGGTCCTGGGGGGAAGGTCAGAGTATGCAGGGTCCCAGGAGCATCCCAAGACCACACCTGCAGAACTCTGTTCTGCTTGAGATCACTGCAACTTCTGGGGCATCCATGGACAAAGGGGACCCATCTCCTCTAGTAACAGACATCGGGATCTTGTAGGACTCTGAGCTGGAAGAAGCTTTTCAGATCACTCCGGTGAGGATTTGTAAATTGGTCACCCACAGGGCGTATCTGGCTCACAAACGTGTTTTGTTTAAATTTATATGTTTTTGGCATCAGGAAATTTTGCATAAATCTTGATTTCTGGCTCTTCTTAGAATACCGGATGATCTGGAAATGTGGGGCCATGATTCCTGCAGGGTAACTGTGGTCTGGGGCTAAGGAGAGGCTGTCCCCTTTCAGGGGGTCCGCACCTCTATTTCTCCACAGTCCCTACAACCCCCTTTGGCCTTACTTTTGGCTCACCCCACTCAGTAAAGTGACCTGCCTAATCTGTGTAGCCATTTGAAATCGTGACTCTGAGAATAGAACGTTTCAAAATTATATATTAATCCCTGGGAACTTCCAGCAGATGAATTTTTGTTGGAAGTTTCTTCTCTAAAACAAATAAAAGTAGGACGGCTTGGTGGAGAAGCGAGGGTGAGTTTGCTCCTTATTCCCTCGACTCCCTTTTCGGGCACATAGTGGAAGGCTGAGAGCTCCATGAAGCATAGTTTAAAGCCCACAGGTACAGCCCACTCAATCCCCGCAGAGATGAGGAACTGAAGCCCAGAACAGGGAAGTGACTTATCAAAGTTCAGAGCGTACGTTTGAGCCTGAAGCAAAATGTGGACCTGTTTCCCCACATTCCATGTTTGTCTATCTGTCCATTATGCCAGAGGGAGTCAGTAGGTTTTAAGACTTTTTTTTTTTTTTTTGACAGAGATCATAAGTAGGCAGAGAGGCAGGCAGAGAGAGAGAGGAAGCAGGCTCCCTGCTGAGCAGAGAGCCCGATGTGGGGGCTCGATCCCAGGACCCTGAAATCATGACCTGAGCGGAAGGCAGAGGCCTAACCCACTGAGCCACCCAGGCGCCCCCCGCCAGTAGGTTTTTTTTTGTGTTTTTTTTTTGTTTTTTTTTAAAGATTTTACCTATTTACTTGACAGAGATCACAAGCAGGCAGAGAGAGAGAGGGGGAGGGAAGCAGGCTCCCTGCTGAGCAGAGAGGCCGACGCAGGGCTCAATCCCAGGACCCTGAGATCATGACCTGAGTCGAAGGCAGAGGCCCTAACCCACTGAGCCACCCAGGAGCCCCCCGCCAGTAGGTTTTAATTCACCTACTGACTCGTGGCAACCAGAGGTACTGCTGAGGGCAATTCTCTGAAAATTTGTTTGGACTTGGTGGGGAAGAGACAGAACTGACTAGCAATGTCTGCATCTGTGGGAGGGAAGAGTCACGGGATTCATCGCAGGAGTTTACCATCTGCATACAATACCACACTGCCTGCTTCTGTAATCTAGGAAAGCAGATCCCGGAGGATCTGGAAGGCAAGTTTTCTCTACCTTTAAAGTTGGGCCTGATCCTGGCATCATATCCAGAGGTTCTCCCCATTAGCTTATCCAGGAAATCCGAGGGTGACATAGGCTTGGGCGCGGAGCGGGCAGCTTCAGCCTCCTTGGACGCAGCAAGGCTAAGAAAGGAGAAAGGAAAGCAGAGGGTTAATGATGACCCTGAGCTCACAGACCAGCCTCCCCCGCACCCAAGAACCACCAAGAGTGTTCTCAGCCTGAGAAATAGCAGTGTGTGTCCTTAATGAGGAAAGACCAGGTTCAGCTGTTTACTTGGCCAGCTGTCGGCCAACACAGGACCCTGGCAGGCGGCTGTGGGTCTGAGGCTGCCAAGAAGCCTCTGCCTCCTCAGGCTTCGTCTCTGGGATTTTGTGCAATCACACTCGGCTGCTGGGCCTCCCTGGGGAGGAGGTTGAAGGGTTAGCTTCCCAGGAGGCCCTGCACTCTCACGGGTCTGGGGGAAAACTCATCCAGAGACTCTCAGAGATCTCATAGTCTAGCCTTTCCCCGAAGCTGCTCTTCAGAATCAGCCACTAATTAAAAAAAAAAAAAAGTTTGCCCGAGTCAAATACATTCAGGAACAGAAATTTAATCAGGCATCTTTACCTCGAGTCTTCTCAGAAGGTTTTTTTTTTTTTTTAAAGATTTTATTTATTTATTTGACAGCCAGAGATCACAAGTAGGTAGAGAGGCAGACAGAGAGAGAGGGGGAGGCAGGCTCCCTGCTGAGCAGAGAGCCCGATGTGGGGCTTGATCCCAGGACCCTGGGATCGCGACCCGAGCTGAAGGCAGAGGCTTTAACCCACTGAGCCACCCAGGCGCCCCTTCTCAGAAGCTTTAACAAGCTTGGAGGCCTATACTTAGGGGACCACAGTCTCACAAAACATACGCTTTTGAAAACGCTCAGTTGGGAACGTTGAAGCACAGTTAGCGGAAGACGCGGAGGGACGTCCCCGAGTAAACCAGCCTGCCTCTGTGCGTCCAGACCGGGGGATCTGAGAGTGGACTGAGGGGGTGCTCCACACCGTCTCTGTCACCAGCCCCCAGTGACAAAGCGGTTTCAGGTCCTCACTCATGCCGTAGTGTGAATTACTGATGTCTATGAACAGTGGCTGTCCCCCTGCCATGCTCTCAGAGATGCGCAGATCCCCAAGAAGGGTCAAGATTGGAAGCTAAAAGGTTCGAGAACAGTCGTTTGCATTGCTTTGGGCCAGAGAGCTTTCCTAGTCCTGAAATGATAGCAGGAGATAGCTGGGAGCAGGTGCAGCTGTAGTGTGCGGCGCTGTAGGGGCTGGTACGCTGCGGGACGGCCATGTGTAGGGGGATGAGTGTGTGCACGCACGTGTCTGTGTGTGTGTTGCATAAGATGGGAGCTTCTGTCACCTAGCCAAGTAGGATATTGTGTTCCCCAAAGATCCGCACTCAACCACTCTTGTTTTTCACCTTTGCTTGTTTCTGATCTCACAGTTGTAATGGTTTAAGTGATCACCTCTAAGGGATGACTCTCAAGTCTGTCTCCTCCTGGCTGCCGCAGAAGCCCCCTTTATTCATTTGAAAACGTGCCCGTGCCTCAAATTCATCTCACGAACGGGATGCCCCAGCTTCCTCTCTGAACTTGCTCCTGCAGATCCCACTTCCCCAGACAGCGCCAGAGTTTGGCCACTGTCTAGGTCTACAAGCTCCAGAGCCATCTTGTCTCCTCATCCCCCTTTCCTGTCACATCCCTCGCTCACCAGGCACTGGACCATGCTACCCGGTAATATAGTTGTGTTTGTGTTTGAAGACCAGGAATTATGGTGTTTTTATTTATTGTTTACTTGTTCTTTCAATCCCCTGCTGTGTCTACTACGGTGTCTCAGGCATCATTGATACTCAGTGACTGCACAGTGAATGAATGAATGAATACGATGCTACTTGAATTAATCAAATATTCTGGTTAGTAGGGTATTCATAAATATTCATGTATGGATTAACAATTTTTAAAGTAATTAGACTATTATTTCCAGTAATGAAGAATACCGAAAGTGATCTGGTATTCCTGTGCAGGTCCAGAAGGCACTTCAGGATTATTAAACACTCATGTTACCTAACCTGAAGATCCCTTATCCACATACTCAGGAGCTCGTTATGATTGTCAAGATGAGGGACAATGCATTTTACTGTTTGTGTGTGTGTGTGTGTGTGTGTGTATGTGTGTGTGTGTGTGTGAGAGAGAGAGAGTCTGGATGTTTGTGAGAGGGTGTGATGTGGACAGGTTTCTAGGTGTAATATGTACAAGTGAGTGGATGGGTACGGATGTGTGTGAGGACTGGGATGTGATGGGGTGTTTGTGGAGATGCGATGGATTGTGTGACACAGATACGTATGTGCAAACATGTGAATACCTCTGTTCATGTGAAAGTGTGTTGTTACGTGTGGCATCTGTGTGTGTACATGTGGGGTAGATGTACGTGTTGGGTATAGGGTGTGAGTGTGTGGAAGGCTTGTGCGGATGTGTGGATGTGGTATGCGCATTACCTGTATGTGCTTCTGAAATGTACCGTGAAATGTAATGTAAGATAGCACAAAAACAGTGAGAACAGATGACTGGAATTTATCCTGTCTCACTTACTTATAAGCTGTGTGACCTTGGGGAAGTTACTCAACCTCTCTGAACTTGAGTTGTCCCATAGGTCACATTGGTTTTACATGAGTGGTAACTGAGGTAGCACAGCTGAAAAACAACCAAGGACAGTTCTTGGGACATAGCGGGCACTCGGCATATTGTCTTGCTCTTGCCTTGCTCTGTGGTGTGTACATGTGTACGTGTGTGCATGTGTGTGTGCATGTCTGCGTGTGTGTTTGAAGCACTTCAGAGCGCGTCTGGGGGCATCTTCTGGTCTCACTGCTGCTTTCTGCGGCACCACTGGCCCTGCGTGACTGGGAGATCTCTCCAGATGCCTGCTGTGGGCCTAAGTTACTACCACAGTCCCAGCCTTTTCCCCCTTCAACACCAGACTCATGGCTGCTCTGTGGCTCTGGTGTGAGCCAAAGGGACCACAGGCATCCAACTGGTGATTTACGACAATTCTGCTGCTATAATTCACTTCTAGAGCCTTTCTAGGAGTGGTGGTTATGAAGCTTTCATAAGCTCCTGTTCTCTCTCCAGCCCCTCCTCTCAGATAATAAGATTTGGGAACATGGACCTCCCTCCCAGCAGCTAGGAGAGCACCAGCCATTTCTTGGCCCTTAGGCCTCTTTCATAAGCCTGAATCCTATTATGCCATACTGGGAGAGAATGAATTCGCCCCAAATTGCCCCCTACCATTTGCTATTAGCAAAATGTGCCATTTAATACCAGAATCCTCCCCCAAGCCGAGGATTCCTCTGGTCACCCAGCTCTCAAGTCTGCAGCATTTGCGGTTCAGTTACCTGGCCACTGACTCCCTATAAGCTCTGGCACAGGTAGCTGAATCGAGGCCATGGAGACTCTGAGAGGTTAAGTAACTGGCCTCAGGTCACACAGCACTTTCACGACAGAAGGGTTTAGAACTCAAATTTTAAAGCGCTGCTTCATCCAAAAGCTACAACATATGGGAAAGCCTTGTAAACTGTGAAGAGTATCCACAACTTTGCTGCTATGGTTACTATTTGTGGTGGAAGCTTATGGTTTTCTGTGACATCTGGGAGCATCAGAGCAGGAGTCTGACTCGACAGTTCTGATCCCACAGCTGCACTCCCCACCCTGAAACGTGGAGAAGAAAGGGTTGTCGGTCGCCCCATGATCTGTGTCCTCAAGGGATTCATGGAAGAATTCTTTGAAATTCTGAGATTTGCTAGTCCCAGCTGGTATCCCGTACCTGTGGGTTTTCTGGGGATCGCGTTCACATTTTTGACTCTGTGTTTCCGCACCACCTGTCCTCATCAGTTACAATGTTTCCTTAAATCACCTCACTTCTTTCAAACTTACTCTTTTTAAACAGCGGACTTGGTATTTCACAACTTAAAAATGAAAAAGCACCATTGTTTCCCGGAATAGACATAACCCCCAAGAGGGAAAGCGGTGAAAACAAAACAAAAAGAGAAGCCTAAAATTCTAGTTGCCGACTATTGATTACCAACATTCACAACAGCAAGGCCTGCTCAGAGTCCCAGGGGAAGACCAGCAAGGATTGCGAAAATGTTGGAGACACATTAACACCTGTCTGAGACTTTAATGAGAGCTGAAAAGGAAAGAGCTCAATCATAATTCACTGATAATCCGTGTGAACTACCCCATCTCTTATTGCCCAAGACCAAAATCTCTCCAATTCTTTTATACATGCAGAGTCTTTATTTGAATGTCAAAATAGCCATGCCCCTCCACTTGATAATCATTGTACATTTCCGTCTATATTTAGAAAGCACAGTTCACAGGGAATTAGTTCAAGGGCCCTCTATAGTAAATCTGTGCTCTGTGCTTTTGTGCAGAGCACAAATGTATCAAGGAGCCCTTGGTGCACATTTAGAACCACTACCTCTGGTGAACTTGAACATTTGCTTATAGACCGTGAGCTACTGAACGGAGAAGCTGGGGATGAACCTGAGAAATGAGACCTTTGATTGTGAGGATTTGCTGACCCTATGAAAGTATTTGGAAATGATGCAAATTGTTTCAGGGATTACTGCAATGTAATGGAGTGAATCAGACTCGGTTGAGACAGATTTGATTAATAGTAATTTCAGAAAGACAGTGAGGTCTTCTGGGACCACGTGTGCTGTCGGTCCCTCGCTGGGAAGGCTTTATGGCAAAAGCTGCAATGACTGGACAGAGTCACCTTAGTGTCTGGAGATTTGTCACACAGGGAGACTTTGGTACTTAAAGGACCTCAGTTTTGACTCCTAATGAAAGAGACGGTGGAAAGATCCAGGAGTGGGTTTCCAAGCGGGGTGTGGGGGGGTGGAAGCAGGGGGACACTGTGAAGTGGGGGATGTGTGATCTTCAGAGAGTCACTCCCCTTTGTGGCTTTCAGTTTCCCAAGCTACAAAATAAGGGGGTTAGAATAGTCTCTAAGAGTCCTTCTGGCCCTAAACTATCATTTTATAAGTCCGTAATATTCCCTCTCCCCCCAACCCCCTTTACACACATTTGTTCTTGGCATCT